CTGTTATGCTGGATATTTGCAAAATCCAGCAGAATTTACCAGAACATTATCAAAGCCTTTTGCTGCTGCACAGCTGTGTTTTAGAGAAACAGATTAGGAAAACATGGCAGGACTGATATGAGCTGTGATCAGCTCTGTGCTGTAACTCTGAGCTGCAGTTTAAACATAACCCTACATGGAAACTCTTGTGCATTCTTTCCTGTGCATTTTACGTCGGACCCCAGCTGCTTTTGCTGTGTGTCTGTGAATCACACCTATGTGTTTGCCCTTCAGGTTCGCTTGCAACAGCCTGCAGAGATCCAGGTATTCCCATGAATGGCAGTCGCAACGGAGAAGGGCGGGAGCCGGGTGACTCTGTGACCTTCTCCTGTGATCCGGGATATGAATTGCAGGGAGAGAGCAGAATCACCTGCATCCAAGTGGAAAATAGATACTACTGGCAACCCAGCCCTCCAAGCTGCATTGGTGAGAGAGAGAGAAAGATTTAAAGAGAGAAGGGAGGTAGTGTGGAGGAGATTGAAGAAAGAAGTTGCGCAGGGAAGTGTAGGGGATCAGAGGGAAAAAGAGATGTGGAGAGGAAGACGTAGAGCAAAGAGTTTGTCTATTAACTGACTGCAGATGAGACTATAATTCTCTCTCACTCATGTCTTAAAAGTGTGTGTAGAATAAACAACACTCTTCAGATATGTTTGAGCTGTTGCCAGCTCTTATGTGGACAAATCCACTTCTGTTGTTGGTTAAAAGACTGAGTAGTGTATGGTCTCCCAAAACAGTGTCTTATTGGAGCTTAACGGCTAATTACCTAACAATGCAATTAGAAATAATTACACTAAGTAGGTCCAAAGAAACCTAAATGTTCTTGAGTTGCTGCCAACTGGTCTAACAGACTCTTTTTCTGGTCACGAAAGACCTAGGCGTTTGCAAGTCTTGGAGCGCAATTACAAGATCACACAACTTGGCATAATCCACTGACACCAGAAGCATCTCTGTGTGACTGAAAACTTGATGTAAATGTCAGCTGTTCATGTGCTAATAAAGTGTCACCATGCCTAATAAAAACAGCACAGTCACCGTCGTGTTACAAACACTGCTTCATTGTGCTGCGACAGTTGTTAGTTTATTCATCAAAATCAACAGTTGACAGACGCGCAAAGAATTATGGGGAGTGGGGGAGTGCCCGAGGCAGTAAAAATGACATTGAAATAGTCACAAACATAGCCATGCTACTGAGTCTGTTGACTTTCAGATTGATTTGCTACATTGATACTTGACACGTTCACATAGTCCCAGGGAGATTAAGGAGCAATGAAGGCGGATTAAATAATTAACACGATAACATATGGAATAAAGTCTTGTAAGGGATACATACTGTTTTTTCAGTCATTTATATCTGAAAAATACACACTTCATAGATGCTGCATTGCATTGTGTTGTAAAAGCACACCGTATTGAAATAAATCAGCTCAATTGTCAGGCGTATCACGGTGTTATAATGCAAAGGGGGGAAAACAGTGGCCTTTCTAATGCCCTAATCTTTGTTACTGCACCACCGGCTGATGGCGATTTACAAAGGTTATAGAAATAGCCAGTTAAATTTAACGACCCATAAGTGTACATGTATCAAGCTGAATTTAGCTAAAGACATTTGCAGCACGTTTAAAGACTACTTATGTGTTCACAGCTTTTTTTTCCTCATTCATCTCTTCCTCCTTTTTATCTCTCAAGCTCCTTGTGGTGGGAATGTGACAGGGTCTTCAGGATTCATCCTTTCTCCCAACTACCCCCATCCCTACCCACACAGCAAAGACTGTGACTGGCTTATCGCAGTTCACTCTGACTATGTCATCTCCCTGGCTTTCATCAGGTAATACGACAACACCAGAACCTAAACCACACGGGTTGATGTATTATTCACACGTGTGGACTTTTCACTTATATTAAGTATTTAGTCAAAAGAAATGTGAGGACTTGACGTATTTGCAGGATGTGAGAAGGCCAATAGATAAAGAAAAATAGTGTTGTCCCTTAAGCACATGGGCCAATAGCTTACAAGCTGAATCTTTCCCTAAACCTGTGGTATTTTTTTGTAACCTGTCTGAAACAGAATGGACTCAGTTCTCAGTGGATGTGCAGTGGATCGGGCTGTGCAATGGAATTGCTTTTTTTCTGCAGTGGAACCTGCAATAGCATCACAGCATTAAGCACAGTTGACCATGTGTGTTAAGCAGAAGACCTAAGTTTGAGCCAAGGTGTGTTGGGAGATAGGGAGAAAGCAGCGGTGCCTTTACAGACACTTAGAAGGAGCAGTATTTCAGCCTGCTTTGCTCAAATATGGGGAAACATGGTTTGTGGGTGAATACTATATCACAGAATTGTGATAGGAGTGCATTCATTAAATATGCTGAAAGATAGTCCGACTGTGTGCTTTGCATTATTAATTGCAATCTAAGCATGCAGCACCAATATCTGCAAAGCAAAGCCACAGATGCGCCCGAGGCCAGTTTTCTTAGGCAGTCTTCTTTAGACTGTCGAATACTTTTTGCGAAAGCCTGGAAAGGAACAAAAGGTACACTGCTCTTTCTGTACTTCCGCACACTTTGCGGTGAAGGCGGAGAACTCGCCATGTTTCTTCTTCAGCCTTGTCTTTCAAAACAAACGCCTAATAGAGTTAGCACAATGCCGTTCTCTCTCTCTCTCTGACTCTTGGGAATTGCCAAATGAAAGGATGGGGTTATGATTTTAAATTGGAGTTGCCTTGATCCAACTCAAATGCAATTATCTCCAAGCTATTTACATTTTCGTCATAAACCGCGCTCATTATTTTGAAAACAAATGCTCCCCTCTCTCTCTGACTGCAGCATGTGATTTGATATACAGCGCTACAATATGAAACGATCTTTTCACACTGCATTGCCGTCGCCGTCTGGGAAGATTTTGTGCCACTGCAGTGTCACAGCAATTTAATCTCTTCTCACCTCTTGGGGGAGATATCTTTTTTTTATCTCTTTGTCTGGAGATGCAAAACAAATTGCTTGGCATGACTCACTTCTAGCATTGCAGTGCACACTTTCATTTTGAGACCCAATTGCATTCTAAATCTCTCAATCTGTACAATCTGGTGGTTAAGGCTTGGCAAAACAATAACTGTTTTATCTTTCATTTGTTTCTTTCTTTTGCTTGTCGCAGCTTCAGTATTGAGCCAAACTATGATTTCTTGTACATCTACGATGGGCCAGACAGCAGCGCCCATCTGATTGGCAGCTTCCAAGACAGTAAACTTCCTGAGAAGATTGAGAGCACTTCCAACTTCATGTACTTGGCATTTCGTAGCGACGGCTCTGTGAGCTACACTGGCTTTCATTTGGAATACAAAGGTACTCTAAAGGCTTGGGCATGCGCTTCTTTAAGCATTTCCACTGAATATGTTTATGTAGTTCAGCAGGGGATTTCCTTTGATACACATCTTGTCTTTTGAATACAACACTACACACAGCCACTTGGAGATTAGCCTAAGACCCAGCCTCCTCTATTGCCACAAATTTACAATCTTAATTAATGTTTTTAATACCACAGTGCTGTTAATTTAAGCAGAAACTTGCAATCTGTGTAACGCTTAATGCATTTAACAAATCCCTCTCATATTAGGCAGTTGTCACTGTTGTAAAAGCTTTGTTTTTTTTGATTGGCAGCTAAACTGCGGGAGGCGTGTTTTGATCCCGGGAATGTGATGAATGGCACTAGAATGGGTACCGACTACAAGCTGGGATCTATGGTGACATTTCATTGCGAGGCTGGCTACCTGCTGCAGGGCTACTCGACACTGACGTGTGTCATGGGCAACAGCAAGAGACCCGAGTGGGACAGAGCTAAACCAAGTTGTCAAGGTAAGAGGCAACACCTCGGCAATAACAGAAGGCCTTAGAAGCAGAAAACTGCACGCCAGCTGTTTGGTCAATATTTGATACAGTGTGATACCAGGAGAGCGCTGTGTTTAAAAAAAGAGCTGAAATGTGGCGCACGCTGCTGTCTGTTTGATGCACATGTAGAACATAGCACATTCTGGTCACTCAATTAATAAAGACAAAAATATAATGGGTGCAACTGTAGTGCAGCTATCATGAGTGAGTCAAAGCATAGTGTCCAATTCCAGATCCACACAGTACTCTGCCCTGCATGGTATTTGTGTCTTCTGGATTTAAACGACACTCCCAAATGGCAAATCGCATTCAGCTATAATACGATGTAATAAACTAGCACATGTAATAAACTAGTGAACATAACGTTTGTTTGCAAATGCGTCGTTTTATTGTTGTTGGTTTTCTGTAGGTTCAGCATTTCATGGTGAATAGCAATATTCATGACAAACCATTTACCACTACTGATTTGAATTTAATGTAAATCTACAGTGTCATAAGAAATGCAAAAAGATGCAAGGAGTGAGATATCCAATTTCTTCTCTTCGCGGTAATCGTTTTAATATTTGTCATAGTCTTAAATCTATCAAGGTTAAATTAGAATTCAGCGCTCATTTACTGCAGTAGGGAACGGGAGCACCCAGCCTCACGCCAGGGAGCTATTCATTGCTTTTACAGTTGACACCTCTGTAACTTCACTTAGCAGCCCTGGGGTTATGTGTTTTACTAAAGAGTCCATCAACAGCTCTCCGTTAAGTGTTTTCACTTTGAAAATGCATCTGAACTGATGACTGAACCGTCTCAAGGCTAAATGTAATGGCTTCAGCTGCCTCAACATATGGCCAGCTACTGTTCCTTTATGTTATTTAGCAAGCTGTACACTCTGTTTACGTTAAACAAGTCTATAATGGCTCACTGTGTTTTCGGTTGTTAAATTGTACTATAGACAGCAGGACTTTTAGTCAAGGTCACTCAGGTCAGCAACTAATATTTAGTATAGAGTATAACTGTGATTCTTACCCCAAACTTAAGGGCATCCTGTGGGCTTCTTGGCTAGCGGCATCATACTTTTCAGATTATTCTTGTACTTTCAGTATAGTAGATTTGTTTTATTATGCTACAATTTGCTCCATTCTCTCCCCTGTGTGTGTAAGCAAAGTAGAATAAAGGAAAAGGTCAATATGATTCAAATTCTAAATCTAATGATTGAAAAATGATTCAAAAATTTAATATTTGAAGCCCGTTCCTTCAAACTACGATCCTGTGATCCTGTTTGTATTGATGGAGTGTTGTAACAATATAACATGATTTACTGCTAAATGCAGTAAATCATATGAAGATTTTGCTGTGTGCGTACTTTGAAGACAATCCAAGCATTCTTAAAAATCATTTTTTCATGCACTGAGTTCTTAAATCACCATTTATGTAATCATATGAGGTAATAACTCACCTTTTTCTCTGAAGCATTTAGCTTTCTTTCTTAACTATCAGCCTTTTACAAAACATAAAATGAGTGGTTTTGCAGCCTGCCCTCTCCTCTGTGCAGCACTGCACTCAGCTGTCAGACAGAAACCGTTAAAGCATATCTTGAGAATCCCTTGCTTTCCTTGGTGCCGCTCTTTCCTACTCGAGATTGACAGCGCAGTTTGCTTTCCTTCCCACTAGTAGCATTCTCAGATTCCTCCCCCACCACAGCACAATGTCTCCCATTCTGTCTGACAAATCAGCTTGAATTAGAGCCTCGCGTGCCCGTGTCACATGTGTTTGATTACATGCCTCTTGCTACTTCAGCAACCAAATGCGGATAAATCGCTGATCCATTCTTCTGCATTAACACCTCTGCTCACTTCTCATGTGCTGCTCGATGGAACAGCAGTGACATGTGCACAGTGTGGGCCATAGGGGGGTTCAGAGCAGCTGGTGACAGCTTCCCTAATACAAATGACTGTGTGTTTGTTTACAGTCGAGGCTCTCCCACCTGATGGCTCGGTCCGTGAGGTCTGAGGTAAATGCATTCGAGCGACTCTTAGCTAATTAGGTACATTATCAACAGCTTAAGATCAGACTATGAGATGCGACGCAGCTGCAAGACAGACTGCAACTAATATTAACAAGCCTACTGAATATCACCGGCTGAATATCTGCTGACAGTAGCAGGAAAGTTTTGAGAGATAGACGCATCCGAGTATGTGTTTAATGACAATTAAATGCAAGCGACCTTAGTCTAGCTTTAGCCGCACGCTGTATTAGCAGATATTAAAATTAATGGATATGCTTTGTAAAGGTTAGTGATAGGAAAATGTAATCAATTAGGATTATACATCATAATGAAGCACCTTCAAAAATCGCTGGATGTCTGATGAAAGACCAACTTTAGCTGAGTCATTGAATCTGAATCTTTCAAAACAGGGTGCTGAGCCGTATGGGCTGATTAAAGTCACAAGCATGTGGGAATGTTGTGCTTTTGTGTTCCCGTGATTGATGGTGTTTTTCTGTATTTTAAAGGCAAAAAGTTTTTTTCCTTGCAGGTTGTCTCGCCCATTGGCTCTTTCTAAGCACATCTCAGGGCTTTTCTTTTCCGCGTTTACGGCTCACTTTTCTTTTTGAAGATGTGTCCAAAATGTCTCTCAAATGTCAAATTATTTTTTTATTTGCTGGACAAATTTATATTTGTCTGCAACTTTTAAATTTTGTTGTTGTTTTTTTTTGTGTGTGTGATTTTTAGCTGCTTACCTTTCAATAGATGCACTAATTTTATTTTAATGCCTTCTTCCTCCAGGTATTATTAGCTGGTTGCCTCATATTTGTTAACTGAGCGTCCCTGCTGCTTGCCTTGCTGTCTCCACAGCTCCCTGCGGAGGTCACTTCACAGGTTCAGAGGGAACTGTGCTGTCCCCAAACTACCCGCATAATTACACCATAGGGCAGACCTGTGTCTATGACATCTTTGTCCCTGGGGACTTTGGTAAGCATTTTAAGTATTATTTTCATGGAACTGCAAAAAAGCTGTTACTTATTGCCTGCTAAAATGCTGCTTATAGCTGATGTGTGGTGGCAGCCAGAAATATTTTTCTTCCAAGAAGAAAAAAGAAGAGGCTGACAGATAATAATCTGTTTTCTGTGAATATTTGCTCCAACATGAGCATGGAAGATAACCTGTGACGAAACTGAAGCTTTCTGTAAAATGTGGTCACCAAACACAATGCTCAAACTTGAATTACTCTTTTTCCTGTTGAGCTTAATTTGCGCTGCATGCATTTTCAATTTAGAGTGGTACTTTGATGCTTTCGGCCACTGGCGCGCATGTTTGCTGCTGGGTAGGATTCGGTTTGTGTAGACTTCCCCATATATAAAAATGAATCACGCAAATGGCTGAGCAATAAATATTGAAGCCAATTGCAAGTATGTGTTGGAGGAAATCTGATTGAATCGATACATACAGATGTTGGTTCCATACCACTACTCCGCTCTTGTGTATGAGCTGAAATGTAGCGTAAAGAATGGCAGGATTTTGGTTCCAGTAAGAGGCGTAAAAGCAGAACAGGATCAGGGCAAACAAAAATTGATTGTGTTGACGTGAAAAATGCTCCGTAGTGTAGGTAATGGAGAGGAAGGTCATGCAGCGAGGGGCTGTGGGGAAAAGACGGCGCAAGCAAATTCTCTGGTGCTCAGTTTATCCACGGACTCCTGTGTATACATAATTCAGTAAAGATCTCTAGAAGACCTTGATGCATTTCTACTCAATATTTCATGTTAGTCATAATGAAGAGCCAAAATGTAGGCAGATGTTTTTATTCTGTAAAGCCCCGTGCTTTAGAAACACAGATTAATCCCCTGTGCGATGATCCGGTCCGACAGTTTACATCCTTTGTTGCCATCTCCCGCTGCTCATGGAGTCCAGGGAACCACAAAACTTTTGTAAATAAACAGTGCATTAAAATGCAGCATTTGCTTAAACTGGGAGCAAATGCTTAATGGAGTGTAGAAATCGCCAAGCAACATTCCCACCTGGGCTTATGCATTTGTTCCAGGGAGTGACTGCTGTGGTGAGGCTGCAGGAAATGGGATTCGCAGCTTGAGTAGAGCAGGCTGAAAATGTTTCACTAGCTATAATACACCCGTGACAGCACATGGCTCTTGTTTTGGTAGTACCTTGTAAATTGTGAATCTAAAGCCAGAACATCAAATGACACCCCCCAAGCCACCAGCATCAAACTGTAGAATTCTCAAATCGTGATATTATTTTTGTAATTTTTACTGCATTGTGATTTAATATTATGAATGAATTAAAAAAAATGAAGGTGTCTCCTCTTGGCTGAGTGCTTTTGGGACGTGCCATGGGCTGTGAATCGAGTAAGGCTAACAAGTGCAAACACACAAACACATGCACATTGAAACAGAGTTGGGAACTAACATCAGTGCATGAAAACAAGCTGAGACATGCATACTTTACTTTGCTGAGCTGATATGAAACCAGTGCACATGAATTAAGTAAAACACATAAATGAAAAGAAAATATTTTTTTTGTTTGGGTTTAATGTTACTGAACAAAGCGTCCAGCATTTTTAGTGTTTTTGCCCTCCAGATAAAACAATAAGAAGAGAAATTCTGTTTTCTCTCTGTAGTAGCTTGGCAGCTGAGTCTAGCCTTTGGGCAGTGTGATAACACAAATCACATTTCAGTGTCTAGTATACAGGTAATTGAAATTTGTAAGCGCCTAGGGTAGAGTGTCAAACGTGTGTCTTAGTGTGTCCCTCATATGACCGATGGCATACCATAAGCCTTTCAGACATTGTGTGAACCTGGCTGGAGCTGCAGGAAAAGGTCAGCGGAAAATCATCTCCTCACTCCGACCCGGTGACCAGAGGGATTTACACCTGTGTTGGAGAACTGGAATGTTATGTGCATATATGTCTTTTGCTGTCACAGTGTAGCCACAAGGGTTTACACAGACCTAAATATAGATATCCATATCATGCAGTGTATGTGAATGTTTGAAATTCTATATATAAGTACAGTATGTTAGTGAGAGTCCTCAGAAATCTGAACAGATTTGGAGTTGGAAGCACTGCATTTAAGATGAATTGGACCATTTCATTTTTTTCCTGATTATTAATAGAATATTTGATTAACTAAGTGACAATACAGTGTTTATGTATAGCCAATGCTAGCCAAGATTGCCATGAGCCATGAGCTGTTGGTTTTCAGAATGAAAGTACTGTTGAAAGAAAAAAGATAAGTGACACTCACATGTTTCATTTTATTGTTAACCTATATTGTATATTGATTTAAAGAGCAATGGTGGACTGAGTATGTGATTGTTTTTGATATGAGTGTACAGCAAACAGGATGGGAAAATGTTCTTCATGTGAGAAAATAAAGGTTTTCACTGTACATTCTCAGCGAAAAAGAAAAGATAAATCACTTTTTCAGTTTAGCTTTGCTACATTTGTGACAGAGCGAGTCAGCTATTGATTTCTTTTTCCCCCACCTTCAACTGTCTTGTTGCTTAGGCACCTGGAAGTTAGACCTGAAGCACCAAAGGAAACTGTCTAAAAGAGTGATTAGATAGCAGCAGAAGCACTCTTATTTTTTCTTTTTTTTTTAGTGAAGAATTCACACTTTGTTTAACCTGATATAAAATGATATCTAGATTGCTGCATGAATGCAAAAAGTATTACTACTGATGATGATGATGATGGGTTTCCTTTTTTGTTGTTAGTTTCCCTAAAAGCGCAGTTTTAAGGTGTGTGATTCTGTCACAGGTGGTCGGTGCAAAAGCTTGCGATAGCTTGTTTATACATGAATGGGATGTTGGCAGGTATTTTGTTTTACGTAACAGTACGTACGTAATAGTAGAATTTGTATAGATTAACTGTACTCTACCCAAACTGTTGTGCTTTTGTCTCATTGAATGAATAGATCGGTGCATACCTTCCTTGATGTATCCTTACTGTTTGTAGGTTTGGACTGCATTTTGCTTGTCGTGTTTTACATCTGATATGATATAATGTATGCACATAAAGATTTATCCATAATAACTATGCGCCACTATGTAATCTTGAACAATTCTCCCTGAAGCACTGTCTCTATCATGCAAATTATTGCTGTCTTGCAAAGGACTTGCTGGTATTAAAGTAGACCGTTCGTATTTATAAACCTCGTCACCACTCTTAGCCCGTGTACACATGTATAGGCTCATATGTACGTACTGTCTCCACACTGATAGTCATAAAAATAGTAGCTGACAGTAAACACCAGTGCTTAAACCATGGTGCGTGTATAGTCAACAAGAAGCAGGAGGCTTTGCAGTCACTGGTGAGCCATCATTTCTTGGTATCTCACCACTCATATTTTGTGCGTGGCTTATTTTACTTTGCCTCATTCAAATGTCATTAAGGTCCAATGTGCATCTGTCTTGCCCTTTAATATTTAATTATTCTGTCAGAAATAATGGTTGTAGTCATACTTCAAACAATAACTCTGTTTCTTTTTGTAAAGGCGTGAATTATTCATGGCACTCAACCTTCGCCTTGGGCACTGCTTGGAAACATAAAGATATACACTGCCTACAGGCATTTGCTCTTGTTTACGCCGAGTTCAACGGCTAACTTTTTGTCCTATACTTCCGACAGGATGTTGTATTTTCCTGCCTAAAACAGACACGTGGGATAACCTCATTGTTTGCGGGGGTTCACAGAGGGGAAAACTGGATATTTGTTTGTTTTTTGGAAGGGATAAAAAGTTCCAAACTGTGCTTCTGGTCTCGTTGTGGGGTTTTTTGTGTTTTTTTCCCCCAGTCTGTTTTGTTTAGCCTAAAGGATCTGCTTGTTCATTACAACCCTCTTCCCAAATGTTGATGGCTTCAGAGGTGATCCAAACTCTTCCAATTAAGACCCTCTGTGGCATTTCTGGGTGTTTTTCTTTTGCAGGTTTTTCTTTGTTTTGAGATATGACTCTCAGATCAGTAAATTGAAAATAAACTGTGAATTTCAAGCTCATTAAAAATGACATCAAAAGCCATTTGTAGCCTGACTATTAGAGCAACACAATGCAGTGGTTTCAACTTATGTTCTCCAGGTCCAGCCTTAGACCTAATTTTAACAAGATTTTAACAAGATTATGAAGCATATCATATATGTCTATATACATATTTTTTAACCTGTGGTTAACTTTTCAAATGGTCCATTTGATCCCAAGGTACATTCTCGGTCCAAGGTCTCTCGTGTGGAGTTAATGGTGAATTTCATTGCGTAGAGACAACATTAATTCATCTCTGATTATCTGCCCGAGGCCGTTTATAGCTTCAGTGTATGTATCCATATAATGGTAACAACAACATATGCATGATGTTTGCCATTGTATGTGTTAGTAGGCGAGACAGGAGCACTGGCAGATTGCTGTAATAAATCTGGGCTCTAACAAGACGGACAGAATCAGCATGAGAGAGAGAGACTGTCGAGACTTCAAGAGGTAAAAGGTCTAACTATGAGAGAGAGGCACATCAAACTTTGTTGAATGTCAAAGTCTGAGAGAAAGTTAGATGGCGAGAGTGATAATAAATGAGGGGGTTATAATAAGCGAGACAGAGAATGGGAAGAATAGGGCGAGAGGAACAGAGTACTGCTGAGAGCGATCATAAAGTGTAGACCCCGGGGGCTGATTGTTGACTCATCAGTGATGTTTGCTGAAGTGTAAGATTCTGCCTCGAGCCACCCCAACACATGACTTGCTACATGCTACACAACAAAATCATTACCTTGTCTGTCTCCATCAGCTTACACCATACACTTCCCTCAACCTAATATAAACTGTGAATTTGTTTTGGCTCTGCCTTGAGTTGGAGATCTTTCATGGTAGAGCATGTGGTTTTTGATGTGTGTAAGACACAGTCTTGAATGACGACACTGACTGATTTCGAAGACTTCAAGATTGCAGAGATTCTGGGTGCTCACTTTGTCATTG